ATACAATATGTAAATTATACATCAATTTTCCATTTTCTTTTTGAATAAAAATAATCCTGTGAATCTTAACATAATAAATTTCTAAAAAATATTTTATTAATTACCAAATATTAATACGTTTAGTATAACAAAACTTAAAAGTTAATTGTAATTTTCATTATCTTGGATAAATCTAGCTTATATGATGAAATTTATTTAGACCTAAAATGTTAAGATGTTATTACTTTAAATGTATTTTTCGACCAGTTGCGAAGCCTGAAATGTAGTATAGGCCTTATACGTTGGAATAAATGTTTTGTCAAATTAGGCCTATTTCCCAAGTGCTTTTCAGTTCCGTAGCTACATCAATACTCACGGATTTGGGCTTAGCACTATGAAATTAAAAAAAATATATTATAACGGTATGCAAGTCGATTCATTTTAACTAGGTCAGAAGTGACATTAATTATTATTTCATTATCTTAGATCAATCTAGCTTATGATGAAATTTGTCAAGATAAAAAATGTTTAGATAATTTTATTTTAAATTTATTTTTCGCCATATTTCAATAGGGTTATTACGTTGAAATTAAGTATTTTATTTTGATCAAAATAGGCCTATTTCCCAACTGTTTTTAAGTTCCGTAGCTAGAACATTACTCGCGGACATTGGCTTAGTAATCAATGTGAAATAAAATAAAAAAAACAATACATATACATTTGCAAGTTGATTTTAACTATTTGGAAGTGACATCATTTTTATTTATTTTAATCTTAAGTCATAACGTTTCCACAGACGAGATACCGATTGCCTGTGTGAAGCAGCAGGCCTTAGTATTTATTACTGTACACCATAGGTGATTCATCTTATTTTTTTATCAATGAAATGTTAATATTATTTAAAAATTCGATAGCTATCCTAATGAAGACACATACGGACTAAGCCTAGTGATGTTCGAATTTAAGTATGGATAATTATAAAACTTGTATAAATAAACTATAGTATGAAAGTCCTCTCCTATAGCCAGGCCTATCCATACTCACTGGTTGTTGAAAAGGCGACTGTCATATCATGAAAATTTTACCGTTAGCAAGAACTGTCTGACTTTTTTTCAACTCTATTGCTACACACAACAGCACAGCATGATGTAATCATGATAAATAAGTAAACAAATTCGTGTCAAATGAATGGCAGGCTAAAAACTTTGAGAATCTGCAGGCTACTCACTGTTACTCTTATCATATTTCGCGCCTTCTGACTGAACCGGATGTTATGACTGGTATGTTGTCAAAATTGGACATGTGCGCGGTCTAGTTAATATATATACGTCATTGGCGAAATCGATAAAAATATCGCGATTCACCTTGACCCTAACCATCAAAGGTCAAATTTAGGTCACCACGCGCGTCCCCGGGGTCGATTTAGTTCAAGAGGCCGCAAGCTCTGGGTCATGGGTACAGATCCGGGCTGACCGTGTGGGTCCCTCCGGACCCAGACTGGGGGCGTGGGTCAAGGTCGTCCGATCGGGTCGGATCTCGAGGACTTGATAGATCGACATAACATTTGTTCTTCATTTTTTAAAATCGTCAACCAAAAGTCCTCATCTTGACCCGCTGTGGGCTTCGGAATTATTTTTGATTTTTGCCGCTAGCGAGCCCCGGATGACGTCACGCCCACCGGACTTTGACCTCTGGACATGATATCTTGTCCTGCATGACCTCGGTAGGTCCAGGTCATCTGAAAGGTTCAAGGTCACCGATTCATGGGACGAATTCGGCCCATTTTCGCTCTGAAAAAGAGTCTGTACTCAGCCCCTATGGGCCCGAGGGGATCCACATTTTGCTGAGCGGGGGGGGGGGGGTTAAAGTACCTGCTCTAATAATTTAGTGTCAATCACCACTCTGGAAGGGGGCGTAGAGATAATCCACCTTAAACAGGGCGAAAAGGAAAAAAGTCGATTTTTGGTTCCCCGTGGAAAAAGCCCATAACTCAGCCCCTATAGGTAGTATGTCAATAATATTTTGAGGGTTCCCGGTAGTGGTCCGTGGGCAGGTGCCCATCGAAAATGTACCCGATTGACCTGGGGGTTCTAATTTCAGTAAAAGTCTCCGGTAAAACTCGAATTTAGGGTAAGTCAGTATCGGATCCGAACCCTACTAGACGTTTTCACTTGTATATCCTAAATAACTTTTTTCATTTTGTTACCCACTGGAAAAGGCCCATAACTCAGCCGTTTTGGGCTGTGGGTCAATAAAATTTGGAGAGTTGACGGTCGGGTCCGTGGACATCCCTTACTCCAGATATTGAGTGCTTTTGCTGACAGTAGCGACTTTCCCCTCTATAAAATGCATCCCTTACTCCGGATATTCAATGTTTTTGTTGAAAAGAGCGACTTTCTCCTGTAAAACCCACCCCTTGTGGACAAGAGGTACCTTCCCGATATTTGATGCTCCTATTGAAAAGAGCGACTTTGCACATAAAACACATACCTTACTCCAGATATTTAATACATCCATCCATATGAAACCCATCCATATCCCTTACTCCAGATATTTAATGCTTCTGTTGAAAAGAGCAACCCACTGTTGCGACTTTCCCCTATAAAACCCATCTCTTACTCCAGATATTTAATGCTTCTGCTGACAAGAGCGACTTTCTCCTATACAACCCATCCCTTACGACAGATATTGAATGCTTCTGCTTACAAGAGCGACTTTCGCCCTATAAAACCCATCCCTTACTCCAGATATTGAATGATTCTGTTGAAAAGAGCGACTTTCCCCCCAATAAAATCCATCCCTTACTCCAGATATTCAATGCTTCTGTTGAAAAGAGAGACCTTCCCCTATAAAATCCATCCCTTACTCCAGATATTCAATACTTCTGTTGAAAAGAGCGACTTTCCCATTCCTTGATGACAAGAGGTACCTTCCCCTATAAAACCCACGGCTGCTTCCCTATATTTGATGCTCCTATTTGAAAGAGCGACTTTCCCCATGAAATACATACCTTAATCCAGATATTTAATACATCCATCCATATATTTGATGCTCCTATTTAAAAGAGCGACTTTCCCCATCATGAAATACACACCTTAATCCAGATATTTAATACATCCATCCATATGAAACCCATCCATATCCCTTACTCCAGATATTTAATGCTTCTGTTGAAAAGAGCAACCTACTGTAGATATTGAATGCTTCTGCTGAGAGCGACTTTCCCCTATAAAACCCACCCCTTACGACAAATATTGAATGCTTCTGCTGACAAGAGCGACTTTCTCCTATAAAACTCACCCCTTACTCTGAGTATTGAATGCTTTTACTGACAAGAGCGACCTTTCCCAATAAAACTCATGCCTTATTTCAGATATTTAATGCGCCTGCTGAAAAGAGCGACTTTCTTCTATAAAACCCATCTCTTACTCAAGATATTTAATGCTTCTGTTGAAAAGAGCGACTTTCCCCCTATGAAACCCATCCCTAACTCTGGATATTTAATGCTTCTGCTGACAAGAGCGACTTCCCCAAATAAAACCATCCCTTACTCCGGATATTAATGCTTCTGTTGAAAAGAGCGATCCTTCCCTATAAAATCCATCCCTTACTCGGGATATTTAATGCTTCTGTTGAAAAGAGTGACTTTCCCCTACAAAACCCATCCCTTACTCCGGATATATAATGCTTCTGCTAGCAAAAGCGACCTTCCCCTGTGAAACCCATTCCTTGCTCCAGATATTTAATACACCTGTTGAAAGGGCGATTAATATCTCGCAATGAAGAGGGCATGCGTCACACGTTGGATGTGGGGTTTGGAGTTGGAGGGATTTCCACATCTAGCCAGTGTCTCATAGAACTGCATATTGCTACATAGTAGATACCATACATTGTTAAGTAAATAACAGTTAGGTTTAAACATATACTAATTGTCTATAAGCGTAGGAATAAATAAGAATCCTAAAATTGAAACAGTAAAGCTAGGTAAAAGAAAATAAATGAATGTAATGTACTGTTCTGTTCTGTTCAAGTAATGTGTATATATGTCTAACCGGGGATGATTACAGTATGGATCTGTGTTAAATCGCGAATAGCGGTTAGGTTTAGGGTAATGGAAAATTCCCAAGGAAAATTTAAAAGTGAATTGCCCTTTGTACATTCGCGAGATAGCGTGTGGGTCGGTATTAGGTTTTAAATAAATGGTTTAAAGTGAAACAGGGTGCATTGCAATATATAGCGAGTAGCTTATGCAATATAACTGTTTCTGGATTATTCGTGTCGTTTTGTTAAAAAAGTATAAACGAGAATAAGTTCAAAATATGTGTTTAAAAGCGGGAAATATACCATGATAAAATGGGTAATGTAAAGTTGGATTTGAATGTGCGGTTAGCTGTCGAATAAATTTTGAATTCCCTGATATGTCATGCGTAGCGTATACGTAAAACCATACTTATGTATTGGACACGTCAAGAACTTATTTGTAAATTGTTATTTGTTATATGTGTTAATCGTAAGGAATATAATAACTTACGGGTTGTGGTTGATTTGTTATTACAGCCAGGAATATAATACAATCAGGTCTTGAAATAAATACTGATCACATTTGTTTAAATATGGTGTTTGGTTTGAATTCAGAATGCAATGAATCAACGAAAAGGTTTAAAATGTTAATAGGGAGTATCTATATGGAAATAAAAAAACAAGGCGTGCAACTGTGTAATTTATTTATTGGTCCAGTGAGTTAAATAGCACGCGTGTTGCTACAAGCTTGTGGTATACAAGAAGTGCCATATAGCACCAATGTTGAGAAGGATTATAGTCTTAATGAAAGACAGGTACAGGCGAATTACAGTACCAAAGTCTGGTTATTGTAGACCATTTGCTAATGAGTCTAGACTTATTAATGAGATAAAACGGTCACTGTCAGTAAGTAAAGAAGGATACTAATGAGTTTCAATGTTATTAATTACTGTAGGTGATAAGTACTAAATATTACTGCTACTTTTTATTAATGGGGCAAATTAAGTTCTATTGTCAATAGTTTATTCAGTTAAAAGTAAATAGAATTAAGGATTAATACAGCTGTGTTCCCAATGAAGTATATACAATTTTAATTTTAAATAAACTTAAGTGTAAGAATATTATTAAGATATAATCACATCCAATTAAAATAAAGGGTAATGTAATTGTAATTGGTCTAATTGAGCAAGTACACTGGTCATTTATGGGATTTTTTGTACCCTATCTTAACGCACAGCAAAGCCGAACCAGAACGGGAAATTCAAGATATGGCTCTGAAGCGAAGTTTGCAGAAGTGTTTACGATCACCTAATTAGCCGTGCAAGAAACAGGACTATGAATAGAACATATTATATTTATGTAGTGTTATTGACATTGAAACAGTGTTTTTTTTAAATATGTTGGAACGTATAACCGAGTATTCATATTGACCTTATATAATATTGTAGCATGTATATCAGTGTAATATTTTAGAATTAGGACTTGAAATTGTAATGGACATATTTAGAGCTTTAAAGTATTGATATTGTATTGTATTTAATGCATGTTACATAACAACGTTAATTAAGGAGATGGTGCCTGTGGGTGGGAAAGGAATGTGACAAAGTGATCTATACCTGAAGTTGAAGTTTAAACTCTCTATAAATTTTTTTTAAGGCACGATCTTATCAAACATCTAATTTATTCAATATGTTCTTTACAAGCTACACGTGATCCGTGTATAACACTAGACAGAACTTCAAAGAGAATGTATTAGTGGTCAGTGCATCATACCTTACAATGACTTCCAAAGAAATATGCAGTGTAATTACAGACACCATAATTTGATAATAAACAATACCATATATGATTATCACTCCTGTCCATCTTCCCTAATTGTTAGAAGCTATATAAGCAGTCGTTTACTGACAGCAAGTCAGACTTGAAATAGAATCCTCCCGATTTATGTCTATTTCATGTTCTCAATAAAGGTCTTATCAATTATGCTGATCTTCTGTTATCTGTAAGATAGTGTTACACACTTGACATCACGTTTTCCCTTTCATATACTTTTATGAGAGAAACTTTAAGATTAGGTAACGAAAGGGGCTATATGTACACTACCAACCAATTAATATTGGCCATATGAACAGCCCCCACCCCCATATGAATTCCCATCCGATAGCCCTCCCGGTTAACAAAAGTAAGGAAGAGATCGTATAAGAATATAAGGATATTCAATGCTTCTGTTGAAAAGAGAGACATTCCCCTATAAAACCCATCCCTTACTCCGGATATACAATGCTTCAGTTGAAAAGAGCGACTTTCCTCTGTACAGATTGTATGCCATATGTGCACTACTGACCAATAAATCTTGGCCATATGAACAGAACATATGAATATCATTCCGATAGCACTCCCGGTTAACAAAAGTAAGGAAGGGACCGTGTAAGAATATTTTACCTTTGTTTGTAACTGCACTGTTTAATTCTAAGGTTCTGTCTACAAGGATGCTTTCTACACCTAAAATCGTAAAGCCAATCATTATTGTAACATGCTTAAGGGTAAATCTTGCGTTTTGATTGGTCAATTAGACAAGCTAAAAAAAGAAGCGATTTTTCTTACAATCAGCGGACATAATCCAAGAATTTACGGTCCGATATCCGTGAATATCTACACAAACCAAGATCTTTGAGATATAAACATATTTTAAGTTTCCTCAAAATCAGATAGGGAGCGGCTATTTCGTGCGACAGTTTTTTTGTTTTTTTTCCGAAATTCAAACTCAACCTTCATTGATGTGTAAAGGTGTTATATTAAAACATTTTTTTAAAATGAAATACAAATTGTGACTTCTACCGGGTTCACAAGCTAAAAATGCCATTTTACGTACAATCAGGGGCCATAATTCAGGAAGTTACGAATATTAAAAGGGACCAAGATCTTTATGATATAGTGATAAATGTAAAGTTTTATCAAAATCGGTTCAAAATTGTGGCCTCTGGAGGATCCACAACCTTGATATACCATATTTTTACACTATTTGCGCACAAAGGACGACCATTTTGTCCGGCATTTTTGGTCCGATTTCCACAAAATTCGAACTCAACCATCATTAAGGTGTAACGGTGATATAGTCAAACGTTTTTTTTTTAAAATCAGATATAAATTGTGACCTCTATATGGTCCACAAGCTAAAAACGCAATTTTTCATACAATCAGGGGCCGAGATCTGTCGGTTATAAACATAAATTTCAAGTTTAAACAAAATTAGATAAATATTGTGACCTTTAAAGTGTTCACAAGCTAAAAACCTGCTTTTTCGTACAATCAGGGGTCCTAATCCATGAAGTTACGGTCCGATACACGCCAATATCGAAAGGAGTCGAGATCTTTGGTGAATCAACGTATATTTCAAATTTCGTTGAAATCGGATGAAAATTGTGACCTGTAGAGTGTTCACAAACAATTCTGGACGGACGGACGGATGGACAGGGGCGACGACAATATACCTGACCCCACTTTTTGTCGTCCTCAAGGCTGGAATCAGTGACAGATTCAGTGACAGACCTTATGATCTAAAGCGTAGGTTTTAACATGAAAACGCAGTCTAGCGAATAGACTCTAGCACTCTAATATAGACGATTTGTGCGCTACTGACCAATAAATATTTCTTGCTTTTGCATTTCTTTTTATATCAATACCCAGACCATGTCTTCCATTTCAGTCGTAGATACAGCTTACATATGTTTAATTTTATAAACGTTTGTAGATTATTGCAGTGTCTGCTACGTATGTCATGTTATCAAGGACATTGATTATTAGTGGCTGAAGTACATGTAGGTGATGGAAGTGTATTAACAATACTGTACCTGTGACGGTAGCGGTTTGTAGGTCATCATTTGTAATTCTACAAAATAAAAGTTAAAAAAAATGATAAATAATTGTTTCGGCTGCCAGAAGAAGATCAGACAATGTATATTTTCATAGCTCGGGGTATATTTTCAAACCACTCCATATTCAACTTACAAAACATAAAAGTGTAAACAATGGATATTAAATGTTACTTGTAAAATATGCATTATATCTACAACATGCGAGACGCTAGATAAATCCGTAAACAGAAGATCAACCGTTTTTTTCTATGTGGTCAAATAGAAATAAATTGCCCTTTTCGACACAGTTTCAATTGGCAACATTCTAGTTTTGAGAGAGAGAGAGAGAGAGAGAGGGGTGGGTAACGTCCACTCGACACACACTAGGTGATATCGGGACTAGCAGGTGGTTCAATTTTATTTCAATAATTCGCTTGCGCAGGGATCTTAAGATGTGGGAGGAAACCGGAGGAACCGGAGGAAACTAACGAGGTTGTACAGGCGACCATACTTCTTGTCACGTACAACTGGGAATAGAATGCACGGCAGTTTACTCAATGACATACCTTATGATACGCGCTAACCATACAAATTATGAGGAATTTAGAAAACATACACACCTTACATTATAAAATAGTTTTTAGTTTTTTTAAACCATACTGAGATGGCGGTTTCAAGGGTGCTAAGTCTTTCGGTAGTCCATCCATGGCCACTCTCCCTTCCCTGTATGATTTATACGGGAAGCCGCTTTTGTTCCGATTGATAAACCTAAGAAATAGAACAAAATCATTTTTAAGTCCCAGTACATACATATTTACCTCATTTAGTCGGATAAAAATTGTGATCTCTGGTGGTTTCACAATCTTACACAACGATCTTTGGGTGATAAATATACATTTAAAGTTATCTACATCGGTTTAAAATTGTAACCTCTTAGAGTGTCCACAAGCTAAAACCATGATTTTTCCGACAACCAGGGGCCATAATCCATTAAGTTACGGTCCGATACCAGCCAATATCTAAAGGAGCCAGGGTTGGGGGGATACAAACCTATATTTCAAGTTTTGTCGATGTTTACTCAGAGATTTATTTGTCACGTTGACTCCATCTACTAAAAACGAAAAACCAATAATTAATAAAAAAATATTTACATATCCAAAACCACTAAAACACGAAACTATGTTTGCCGTCGGACTATGCTGTTCGGACTATGCTGCTACTGCCTACTCTTATTTCGAATTCTGTCAAGGGTTCTTTAACGTACCATACATACCAATGTGTACACAGGACCTCGTAGATGCTGTTCCTTGCCAGGCTCTCCACAATGCACGACTAACACAGGATTGAACAGAGAACCTCCAAGTAAGCGATTCATCGACTCACTCACTGAACCGCCACAGCTATCCACCCAAAAACGAAGGACCTACTTTTTTTTGTGAAAACCCTGATTGGCAAATAAACTTTGACACTATTAACTTAAGAAGACAGTGTGTGTAACAAGTTTATCCTTATAAAAATAAAATATATATATCTACCTCCAGCGCAGCAGTCGACATATGGGTTTGAAAGATATGCTTTGGAATTATTTGTGAAGGTTAACGGTCGCGGGTTACCTCCACCAAATAGATATTGTATTTGGCTGTTGAGGTCATGACCCACACAAACCAAATCAACTCCATATTTATTTGATAATTCTGTCATCTAAAATGAAATATTATGAAAAAATAAAATACATTATGAAAACCGTTTTTCAAAACGCAATAGAATATCTAGGTGTCATTCAGACCATCATTAGTGTTTCAAATACAAAAGGATACAAAAGGATAACAACTTACAAGAGAAGCAATTTGTCCGATCAAAGCTTCTTTGCTGCTGACAGGGCAAATCGATTTGGCTTTTTTTTTTGGTAGCTACTTTTTTCTTCTTTATTCAATTGATTCCAGGCTGGGCCCCACGAAGGCATAGCTTGTAGTGTTTCTGTTAAAATATGGAATATTATAGAAAGTAATTGATTGAAATTCGGGCATTCTTTCTGTCACTCAAAAATATATACATATAAATAAATAAAATAAAAAAAACCATATGAGTTTAGTTTGTTAACGCAAAAAAGAGTATGGTACCTCTGCAGTTTGCCTTTGGCTGCTTGAGAAATGAAATGAAATGAAATGGGGTTTAGCGTCCTACTGTTCTGCTCCTAAACTGGGCTAAGGAAGACGGACATACCCCATGCAGTGTGCTTTGAGGGAAATTTTGCCAGGGCCTACTTTAATATCGAATTCCAACTCCCAACGGATCTTTTACGTGCACTCCAATGTGTACACGGGACCTCAGTTTTTCGTTTTCGTCCCATCCGAACGACTAGACAGCTGTCCTTGTCAGGCCCTCCGTCCTGCATCACTGACAAGGGGGAAACCACGCCAAAAAATCGGGATGAACATTCTCGGCCAATGCAGGGATCGAAAACCCGACCTCCAGGTTAGCGAACCAGCGTCTTACCACCTAGCCACGTGATCCCCTGGCTGCTTGAGACTAAATATATTTGTCACGAACGCTACTCGAATGACCCTCCCCCCATCCCGGGGCCCACACTTATAATTCAAACCTTCTCTGCGCCGCATAACTAATTACCTGTAATAACAATTTATAGTAGTAGATTAATATATTTCAATTTGGAAATAATTATTAGAAGTTCTTAGAACTAAAAAATGTTGATGTCCATTCACATAATTTGATATTATTACTTGTATTATCTTGTGTGTTTGTGGTGCGGTCCTCTTGCACTTTACATTACTAATAGAATGAAAGGGGGGGGGGGACGTCTTCGAACGAAGCTTTTCCAAAAATGATAATGAAAATTAGTCATATTAATAAACAGGGTGAAGCAGTAAAGTATGGTGGCTGATTGGTATCATGTCGTGATGTCGCCCTTCATAAGGCGACAACCCGACATCACGACATTATAACCCGACACCACGACAACCCGACATTGTTAACCCGACACTACCACATTTTCACCCGACACCACGACATTAAAAATGTCGTAATTTCGCGTAAAAATGTCGTATTGTCGCGTAAAAATGTTGTGATGTCGGGTTGTCGACTTTATTTATCAATGTTGAAGCGGCCATGAATAATAGAGTGCTGTCCCTTGCCGAGAACAAGCCAGCCCTCACTGTCTCATCCTTCACTTACCCTTCACTAACTGCGAATCAAGCTGGCCCTCACTACCAAATTCGCTGGATGACCATGACTTGAGTGTACTCACGTGCTCGGTATGGGATAATTCGAGCCTTCGATAAATAAAATGAGTAGTCTATTTTTAGTAGCCCATTTCTTTGCTCAAAATAAAAATGCTTTTATCTCTTCTAAAGTATGTAATCGTGAATGTGCCAGAAAATAATAAGTAGATTTAAAGAGCCATAGAAAACTACTTTCCGGTGATGTATGAGAGGAGAGAGAGAGAGAGAGAGAGAGAGAGAGAGAGAGAGAGAGAGAGATGGGGTTTAACGTCTACTTGACACAAACTAGGTCATTTCGGGACTAACGTATGGTTTAATTTTATTTCAATAATTCGCTTGCGCGTAGGGGTCTTTAGTAGTGGGGGGAAACGGAGGACCCGGAGAAAACCCACGAGTTTGGAGAGGCGACCCTTCTCCTTGTCACGTACAACCAGGGAATAGAAAACACGTCAGTTGACTCAATGACAGTTTATGATTCAGCGCGCACACGCTAACCATTCAGCCATCCACCCCCGATGTATGACATAATAACTGGAATTTCGTATTAAGACACGTATGTTGTTGACATTAAACACTTGCCCCACCCCGCCACTCTCTTTAATTCAGCCAGTGAAGGCTACCAGATTTGTATCAATCTTAATTTTAGAAAGTATATATGCATTCCGCCTAAAATACAATAAATACATTTCAAGAGAGGATTAACTTTACTTTTCAGTATAGATATACGGAATTTTGGATTAAGCCCCGCATATTTATTTCAAATACCCCCCACCCTCTTTTCACTTTTTAAGGCAAGTAAATATAAATGTGCCAGAAAATTATTTATATATTTGAAAAGAACAGTGAACGTGCTTTCTACTGATATGTAGCATGATATCTGAAATTTCGTATTAAGACCCGTAATTTGGCAGTGAGGGCCAGCTTGATTCGCAGTTAGTGAAGGGTAAGTATTCTTAGTGAAGGATGAGATAGTGAGGGCTGACTTGATCTCGTGGCCGCTTCAACATTGATAAATAAAGTCGACAACCGGACATCACGACACCACGTCATTTTTACGCGACAATACGACATTTTTACGCGACATTACGACATTCTTAATGTCGTGGTGTTGGGTGAAAATGTCGTAGTGTCGGGTTAAAAATGTTGTGATGTCGATTTGCCGTGGTGTCGGGTTATAATGTCGTGATGTCGGGTTGTCGCCTTATAAAGGGCGACACCACGACATCATGACATGATACCAATCAGCCACCATAGTAAAGCAATAATCTGTATCCTGTTGTTTTGGAGTGAGTAACGTAGCTAAAAACGTTGAGATATAGGCCTACTGAAACACGGAGGGTAGAGAGATGAGGTTTGTTATCTAATCGCACCCACCCTCACCAGGCCTCAACGGTCATAAGGAACAGTACCTGACACTACAAAAACCGGACCGTCTTGTCGTGCGTGAAAAAGACCACATAATGATTTTCTTCATAGAGAATACACATGTGTTATTGTTAGCCGCTTCAATAAGCCAAATTAATAATATGATAAATTAATAGGTCCTCTTGAAGCGGCTAACATCACTAACCCAAGTCCTCTTGAAGCGGCTAACATCAGTTGAATCGGGTGGTATTGTTGTTGAACATCTTCTCAAAACAGATCACGTCATTAAATTTATGTGGAAAGAAAAGACAACCAATCTCAATAGAAAAGTACTGGATTCCCTGAAAACACCAATGTGGCGCGTAAAGGAAGGGTGTCACTAACTGATAGAGGTGTATATAATTGACTAGAGTGTATGGTGGTCATGATCGCGTGCCGACTATGGAACTTAGTCGCCATTTTACCACCGGAAAGATTTAGCCTACGTCGCCAAATAATACAAACATACCAGAGAGTTGTTGTTGTTTTGGTTATTTCAATGTCAGGCAAAAAGGGAGTGGATTATATTTTCATAAGTAAGATATGTTATAAGTGAAATGGTGATCTAATATATTAGTATAATCATGATAACAGTGTAAAATAATTTAATAAACACGACGTAAAGACGCCGAACACGCGAAGCTTGAGGCCGGAAACCGGGCGCTTAATTTGTTTATGTACCGATACTTTTATTAAGTAATAATTACAATGGAAATTGCGTATTATATCTGCAGGCACATCTGGTATTGTACGAAAAATATCGGGGGAGTTAGTCTGTTCATTGAAGTGGCGTTTTTAAGTTACAGACATGCACTAACTGGCCATTAGTAGCTTTCTTATAGGTTAGTTTTACTCCTCGCTTTTAACTAATTAGGCCGACATACCCAATACCCAAAAAGTAATAATTGAAAACAGAGTGTATCAAATACATGTAGATGTATTAAAGTGAAAGTTTCTTGCAATATAAGCCTATGCTTCATTTTTCTTTTTTTCAGATTCCCGCTTCAAAACTCCGAACTAGTTTTTTTTTTTAAAAATGTGGTTAATTTAAAGTAGCTAAGTCTCTAACCCAATATCATCCAAAACCTTCGACAATGAACACACATTATCAATTTAAATCAACATTGATGTTGCGATCTTACCGGAAAAGGTGAACTTCTGATATCCAATATTTAAGACAAAATAAACATTTTACGATTGGTACACGAATCGTGTACCATAATGCGTTTCAGCGCAATTTGTAACAAGCGACTCGAAGAAAGAGGTTAGATATATTCCACAAGTCATGTCAAACGGTGACCCCATATTCTTATCTGGAGAACATGTGCAATAAATACTATCGTTGTAGACTGGAATAACCAGACGCTAGAGATTGCCATTGGATTGAGACTTCTGGCGTATTTCGCCGAACATAACTGCTTTGAAATTTCAGTAAAAACAAAAACGATTGAATGTAAATCAGTTTACTGAGCGCCATGGAAAATGCATCACTTAGTTTTTCGTATAACAAAATGATCCTGTAAACATATCTTATTTATTTTGCTTCTTATTGTGAACAATATTCAAATGGGAACACATCAATAACAGCACATTTGTAAACTTATGGATGTTTAATCTGTAATCAAGGGTACAAAGTCAGAGGGGTCAAAACCAAAAGTACGACACAGATGTCAGTAGCGCGTGTGTCCTCCACGGACCATCATCACGGTAGGCTACAGCATTAACGCGACCCCTGCAAATGTGTAGGGCGGTCCGGTGATGAAATGTGAAGCCTCCCCACACAATTACACTTCCCCCACCCCATCGATTCGTTTCGAAGACGCAGCAGTCTGCAAGACGTTCCCCAAGACGTCTCCACACACGTTGACGGCCATCAGCGTGATAAAGATGAAAGCGACTCTCATCACTGAAGAGCACACTTTGCCAGTCTACTCTTCTCCATGTCTGGTGTCCTTCAGCCTGGGTTGTAACGCGTTGCGGACCAGGACGTTGACGGTCGCGTGTTGATCCAGTAACTCGAACACGTTCCATCAACCTTACAAAAGTGTCTGGCAATAGCACGTATAGACATGCCAGCCCGGGACATTCCCATGGCTTCATTCCGTTGATTTTCATTAAGTCTCGGCATCTCTAGCTCGATTCCTTTACACGTCCAACAACAAATTACGACAGATTGACGTTTCACAGTTCATGTACTGCACATTAAGTTGAAAACATGCTTTTAAAGGGCTCACACACAATGCTGCACGTGAATATTGGGTTTTTCATGTGCATCTCGTGCAATTTTTTTTGTGCACACGGGCCGATATTTTTTTGCGTCTGGGAGCATTGTGTGAAACAATAGTTCATAGTATTGCATAATATTATACATACACAACCACCTAGTAATAAAATATTTGGGGAAAAAAAAGTTATGCGTTTTCCATGGTGCTCAGTATACATTCATATTACATTATTATATACGTTGCGACCCATTTTTGTCAATTTGTAGGACCCAAATATTAGCAATTTAGCTCCTTTAAATAAGGATAAGAAGTCATAAAAACTTCATTAGTTCATTCCCAGTTAAATTTTGTGAATAAAAGGTCTGATATTTTTTTTAAATCGATGCTACTGCTAAAATATCATTAAGTTAATCTTATTTTATTGTAAAATTAAATATACCTCCGTATTTTTTAATCCAAGACACTTGAAATTGAAAACCATGGCATATAGGCCTAAGGTCTTGCTTGCCACGTTTATGTGCTCAGTTGTAATAGCCTACAGGCACAGAGTAATAGGGAAATTCACAACGTCTGACGTCACTCACGGAAAAATCAAAACGAGGCTGCAGATATGCATAAATGCCAAGTCGGTTTTTTCCTTTTTTCCCATCCAATATTCTCTTGGTAGATGACAGAAGCAGATTATTTATGTTTAAAATTTATTTTATTTCTTTATTTATCATCAGGGTGACGTTATAGTTATCAATCAAATAGTCCTTTCAAATCGTCCAACAAATTGATCTATCCAAAATAAAGTTTTATGTAAACTACGAGGAACCACGTTTCAAAATTTATGGATCTGGACATTTTCGAGGACGATCACTTTGCTCAATTAATAAAATAAACATGATTTCGTCAGTTCCACCCTAAATCATATGCATTACCGTCATTATGATAGAGTTATTCTAATTAATAAAACCCCTAAAAGATACCAGTTGACCAAAATGATTTTGTTTTTAGTAAGACCTTTTAGTCACCAATTATTTGGGGGTTGACATTGTTGAATTAGGACTATTTTTAATTGGCTTGTCCGCCCACCGTCAGTCTATTTCCCTTTGTTTACATGGCGGTCGTTCTTCAGTGACGACCCACAACGTTAAATTTACGTCAATGGGGGTCACGTGACCACAATATA